TCAAGGCGTTAATCTCTCGGACCACGTCCATATCACAGAGGTCGAACTCCGTGAAGTGCTCTCTTGTTCTAACCAGGTTGCAGTCTACATTCTGTCCTGCTATAGGTGATCGATAAATTCCCTTGAAAAACCTAAGGAGTGCAATTGCTTTTTCCTGGTCGGTGGTGGCCATTACGCCGACGAGGGTAACAGGGTTTGAATCTCTGTTTTTGATGCGGAGCGCGGTAGTGACAGTGACTTATGCCACCGACCTCGTGGTTTCGCGCCTAACCATCGGACCCGTCAAATGTCTTACTCCACTCACAAATCCACGCAGCCGGTTCACGTTTGTTCACTTTGACTGCAATCACAGTTTGGTTCAGCCATCCTCGCATGTGCATGACATTTGATTTCTGTTTCTATAATATTTAGCCCGTTCTTTGGGTTTCCCGTGATCCAATTTTCGTACGGGGGATTTGTACAGTGTGAGCTGTCTCAACTAGCTCTCACTCTGTGTGTGCTGCCAAAATCGGAGTGGATGTATCGCAAAACATCGTTTGGCATTTTATGCCAGCATTTTCCTTGTCGGAGTTAATATGTTGTGAACTTTATCACCCGCCTCACCTTTGATATACAATGCATCATCACCCACTCTCCCAACGTGTGATACGTCTCGTTTAATGACGAGGGCTATCGATTCTGCGAGTATGATCAATGCGTTCCTCTTAATTATTGAAGTTCACCCGAGACTTGTCTGCATTTCACCTGCCTCCAATCCCGAAACACAATTTAAATACCCATATTGCCTGATCTCGTTTAATTTTTCTGTGGTGATTTTCCTACCATATTTCAATCGTGACTGATTCGTCACGACACCATACCGATGCATGTGAAATCGTTCGCACACTAAAGCGATTGTTTGAACTGAGCGTTTTTCGTTTTGGCATCGGGTTTCTAGAAGCGAACTTGTGCAAAAGAAAATCAAACCAATAAGCTCAACTTTTTCCGACTATCACTTCAACCCAGTCGACTGACAAGCACAGTCGTGGTTCTCTCCTGTGTCACATGAACTTGCTAAGGCTGTGTGAATGATGCGAGTCAGATGGGGGGATATTTCTTCAGGGAATTTGAATTTATCTCCAGTTCCCGGAGCGTTAAGTCGCTTTTTACTTGGTGTTATTCAGATATTCAATCCGTAGCTATCCCGTCACTATTTTAGGAAAAGGAAGACGCGCACATGGTGATCTGCATAGCATTTGTATCATTTCGCACGACTGCTACTTTAGATACTCACATTTAGATCCATATATTTTGGCAGTGCAAGGCATAAAAACTAAATTTGTAACACAAACCTGTCCGTTTCTTCCTTCTACTGCTAGAGAATTTGTTTTGATTGAATGGAGTCATACATTGAGACGTTAAAATCGATTAGATCATCCTAAAGGTTGCGTAATGACCTTTTGTGTAATTATTTCTGTTTTTGCCACCGTCAAACAAAACTAAACAGTCTTTCAAGGCCACCGTCACGAGATGAACTTTTTGAGGCGGATCAAAGATCCCGGCTTGATCGCTGGAGTCTGAATCGTCAGTTCTTGTGCTGGTAACCTGGTTGATTTCGTGATAATCTCATAGCCGTTTGATTTTTGACTAATTTCCTTGTATGGTTTCGGTATCTATACTCTGTACCGTATTACATAAGATTGCAAATCTTGGAATCTGTTTACGTCATGAGTCTTTCGCTCCTCCTATAACGATATACGGTAACTTGATGAATGTTTGCCACACGCAATGAGCGTTTTCCCAGCATTACCGAAATCATTGATCTATCTGATCAAATTTTTCCGTGTTTTGTTCATTCATTTCACAATATGCCTTGTCCCCCACCCTCTGCCGAACGCACGCTGGGTTCGATAATAGCTCCATCCCATTCCACTAAGGTCATTGTACCACTAACACTGTTACAATTCCACAAGGCAGTGCCTGGGCGAGGATAGCTAGTTGTTATGAATAACGGTCAGGTTATCGGTAAATTGCCATTCATACAGCAAAATGTCGCATTTGGAACGAGTCTTCAGAATACCCACACACACACAGAATAGTTGACGGAACGGTCCAACAGTAGATGCGCATTCTTGTATTTGCCATATTGAATACAGCAATTCACTCCAACAGGTCTTGTTCATTTTTGACCGTTCGAAGAACCCGCCAACCGCATCCTTTTTAGTACTACTCACAAATGTGGGTAGTACCTCACAACACTACTATTACTTATACGACAACTATCACTGATAATAATCATAAAACAATTACAAATAATGTTTCGTTATAGTCGACAGCATGATTAGAAATCTCTTTTTCAGTTAATTATTAGTAGGTGCACATTATAGCAGTTTCGCTCATCGCATTTCCATGCTTCCCGTTGCCGAATCTAATGGTACTTTAGACGGCAATATAATAAATTTGATGTTATCAATCCCTAAAATGCTTCTCTCATACATCGCACATGAAGATGAGTTACATGCGTTTTCTGATCAACTCATTAGTGCAAAATGAACATTTGGGTTACTGACAACTGCATTTTGATGCTATTGACAACTTAGTTTTTTACAGGTCCCGGATACGGTTACTATTGTTATTGTTTTGCTTTTCATTTGACAGCTAACAGAAACTTCATCGTCACACACTTCCGAATTGACCTCGATAGACAACTTCCTGTTACACTCATTTTCTGATCCTTTTGTTGTCACGTGAGCGCGCGAATTTTCAGCGTTTTCACGTGTCGAATCTGATTCGCATTAGTGCCCGAGCATTTTTGGACTTTTTGATCCAGTCACTCATTGGCCTTAATGGTTTCGCTCATTTCGAGTGTTTTATTTTTCGTACGTCAGGTCACGACACTCTTTAACCCACTGTTTTAAATCACATCAAAACTCACCTTCTGCATGAATTTGAGTCACTTAAGACCCCATCAAGGGTGCAATACAGTCTAATAGCAATGCGGTCATCGTGACTAATGCTGTGGCGCAACTCCGTCCTACTTCACTCTCCGAGATAGCGATCTTAAACTCTCTGAGCGAACAAAACGAATCACGAGGGTACGGATGAACTGACCCCTCCGAAGCCTAATGTATCTCCTTGAAAAAGCAGAATCAGGAAGCTCCGCTTTCTATGAATAGTTTTCGGATCCGGTCGGGGAAACCTTAAGATTCAATCAGAAACTAATCTATTCGCAGCCCATTGCACAGACATGAATGAGGCGATAGGTGGGCATGAAAGCGAGAACAGAGCGAAAGGAAATTTCTCAGAAAATCGTTGGTTTCTCGTAACAAGTGCTTTATGCACTATCCTATTAGTCATTATCATTTGTCTTTATGAACTCCTCTTTCTGACCGGAAAGTTCTCCATGAACACTCAAGATGGTTGTCCTCTTCTCTTTTGCAAATGTTAATTTTGGAATAGAATGTGTTCCGTTAATGTGTCAGTTTACACGTTGGTCTAGTTTAAAATAGTAGCTATCCGCACACCATCGTTGAATTAGCAGCAAGTCGAAAACATGTACCACCGGACCATCTATCACCGTTTGTTCTGTGCCTCATTTAGACAGAACCACATTCATTTATAGGTGTAAATTGATCACTCTTGTCTCCTAACGCCCTCCTTTCTCTGATTCTCCCCGGCCCCCTTTTTCATCACCCCTTCCCTCCGCTCGAATATGACATGATAACTGTGCGTACGTCGTATTCAAGGTTCACGCCTACATCATTTCTCATCTCAAAAGTGAAATGCCCACACTGATGGGTCGGGAGTCCAAAAAGAAGGAATTGATCGCCAATCTGTCCAAAGTGTACGAATTGCTGTCCCGAACGCATCACATTTCGCTCGGCGATTTTCCCAACCTGACCAAAATGCAAGAGTGTCTCTCTGTGCAGGATTTCAGCAAATTTTCCCCGTTGCAACCTCGTCTGATAAAGGCTGTGGACGAAATGTTATCCAATGATATAGCCAAACTGATGCAGATGATCCCACAAGTAAGTGCTTGGATTTCTCTCCTCACTTCACCTGTGTTCACAATGTCTTTTGATCTATGTCACGAGTTTTTTCCCCTAAGTGGTTGCTACAATCGATGCTTTTTTGCTGCTTTTTTAATGAAAATTTGACCGGCCAGAAAGCAGCTGTTTGCAAACCCTCGACCTCTCACTTCTAAATAACACTCTAATTTCGATCTGGCTGGCTGACCATAAACTAAGTGGCCCTGACCTGGGAACGGTAAGCATTTCTGTTCAGTGCTTTGTGTACTTTGACACATGATCAACCGCGTAATGATTGTCCACATTTTGCCGGTCATCTACGCAATAGTGTTCAACTAGTGTGCCATTGACAGAAGCTAAAATCCTTACAATCGTGCACATTGGCATTATCAGTATTAGTTGTCTGTGTCCCAATTCATATTTAGAATATTACACGCTGGTAGATCTGTTGCACATTCCGTTGATCGACTGATTTTTTGGAAGCTAATGACCGAATGGGCGGATTTTGAATGCGAAACACATTTCGAAACACTATACACCTGTACTCCATCCAAGCTGTGAATTCAGACTATAAGCTAATAATATTTCGCATCCAGTCATCTTTCCGATTTATAAAACGTTCTGTATCCACCTATTGGTGTTACATATGAAAACGGTGTATAAAAGTTTCCTGTCGAAAGGTAGATATCCTGAAAACAGTGTAGATTAGACTATGGAACCGATTTTCTAGATACATTTTCGTGCAGAAAACGAATGAGCTCGTGCTCTGCAACTTGAAAAATTCGCTTATTAACTGACGAGGGACGGGGGAATATCTATTTTCCTATATTCTCGGATTCAAACTTTGTACCCTGGGAATTGAAAAAATGTAATTCAGTCGTTGCTCCCTTGGAACTAATCGTTTTAGATGGCCAATTTAATTTAATTTTTCGTCAGGTAGTCTGCAGATCACAAATCACCACTATTATTCATTTTGTTCAACTAGTGTTTTAGCCTTTCTGTACTTTTGTTTGATTGTTGTAGGTAGACAGCCTGTGCGGTAAGGAAATGGAGAAATGGCTTCTTTTCTTATTGCACAGCTGGTGATCAGCGGTAGGATGTGCGTACCTCTGTCGATAGACCCCAATAACTCAAGGCCCAAAATTTATATTGGTGGACCACATACATAAAACTAGACGGTAGTGAACTTGCGTGGTACGAAAATAACGGGACGGTAGTGGTGCTCGACCATCAAACCCAATAACTCAAAGGCATAAATTGCATCGGCTTGATCCGCTCCAACATCACAACTAATTACTAATTTCACGACCTAAAAACTAAAAATGTGAGTAGATGCTCGACTGATACGGTCTATGATATTTAGTCTTGCCGCCTAACCTATTTAATCTTTGATCGTGTTGGTGCCAGAGACCGCAGCCCACTGGTCGTGATTACCAGACTTTTGCGCTAGACAATAGTCTGGCCGACTGCTAAACCCTTCGGTAATAATTTCACTCTTTGAAATCTTATTCGAAGCGGTAACACTTTTCTCTGCCACAGAAGTTGATGACTGCCGTTTAGTTTACTTTAGTTTCGTAAGACTCAGTCAGTTGGTTTTAACTAGGAATTAAGACATTATATATTACAGATCGTTTTTGACACTAATACTATGTGCCAACTTTTCCTGCTCGCATGCCATTCTTCCGAAACCCCGATCTGTCTCTATACATTTTATGATCAGCTGTAGTTTTGGTCGAATCCACTTTGCAAGAGTAAATTCTAATATGATTAGTCTACGCAGCTCTGTTTAGCCTGATTTCGACCTACCTCCAGCCAAAGATGAGAGAGATCTTCAAACTTCTAGATTTTGGAAAATGCGGATCTTTTTTCTCCACACATGCACACACCCTAGTCAAGCTCCCTTGAGTCCAGAGAATAAACCGTGGACCAGACATCCGTGACCTCTCAGTTGTCTGACTATCAAATAAGGTCACATAATTCAATTTTTTCGAAATTTTTCACCGTGCACTTGGTGATATGTTTTGGATCTTGTCTCTACTGACAAATCGCTAACGTGAATTTAAACTCGATTGTCCTGTGGATAAAAACGGAATGACTTGTGGCTTGAAGGGCAAGCTTTAACCACATCACAATGTCCTTCGGGTTAGAAAGAGTTGAAGCCATCACCGCAGTTAGCAATACCACTGTACGGGCTGCATGCGGTGAAACCTCATTATTCGTATCAGCGTGAACGTGTTGGGAACGTGTTTACATTTCAGTCGAAAGAGACCTCAGGCCCTTCATATTGGATTGTACAACTGATATGAAGTGAGTTGAAATGTAGAAATATATACCCGTATGATGCACACCACAGGAGAAAAGAAACGTACATCAAGTCTGATGGTAGTTCAGTCATTGCCTTTTTTCTAATCTGAGAATTAAAGTCTGTTTCAGTGATAAATCACCTTATGTAAATGTGAAAATATACTGCACTCCCAAATGTGTCTAACAAAACACTTCGAGCTCGGGGCGCATCTGAATCCGCGCTCCGAGGCTATGCCCCTGACTACGGGTTCTTGTTTACCACATGTATAACTTAGCCCCTTTTTGAATCCGGATCTTGCACAATCTCTTTCACATGGCTATCACACTGTTTTTGCATCATGTCTGTTCTACCAAGTGCTTTGTCTCGAGAATCGGGTCATTCATGTTTCATTTCTCCACCTGCTGGTAACATACACCAAACGGGTACACTAACCGAAACTTATTCTACCAATTGCGTGCGGAAACGATCACGACATTTCTAGTGGAAGCGGTATCTGCTGCGCTCTCACCTCATTTCTGGATAAATCCAGTTTAGCTTAACTTTTCAGACCATTCGTATTGCTGGAATTGGGTTATAAGCTCGCCTTCCTGAGGATACTTTTTTTACTACGACTGGCTCTTTGGAAAGGATAAGCCGGCTCCATGCCTCTAATTGCCGCCGTCGAAGACATGTTCATAAAGTTACTTGGGAAGTTGATACAAGAGACGTCTCCGTCGTCACTCAGCGTCTTTTATTTTGAGGGTCCTCCTCAGCCTTTGCACAACTAAGTGCGAACTGCATGGCAGCAGGAAGTAATCCCTCACGTCGGAAGCGAGGGGGTCAGTGAATTTAGTTTTAAAAGGTCAGTCACATCGATCTTTGTCACGACACCGTCGCTAGGCTTATGCGGCTTTTAAACAGGAGCCGGGTGATCAACCTCAAACCCACCACACCCTGGATTTTGCCGCCGCTGTTTTTTCTCGACTGTTTAGTTTTTAGCGGCATGCGACAACATATTCACAGTTGACCTTCTTCGGTGAAGGTATCCCCGTATCCACAGCTCGGGGATGCGCCTGGTAGCATTCAGCTCTGCTTAATCCGAAGGTATCATTAGGATGGCCTTGTTACACTGTACAGAACAGCATGGAGTTTTGATTCATCGCAATCCTTAGTCCGACTGGTCATCATCGATTAATTTTTTAGTATGCTTTAGAGAGGTAAAGAAGCTGTCCTCATTGTTCCCACAATCTGGTTAACTTTCTGTTCCACATAATCCGTGTCAACTTTAGTTATTTCATTTATCTCTGTGTTGTTCTCGCCGCGTCTTATCAACCACCAAATTTATTTAACCCTNCCCTAGTTTTGGCAATCGTGTACGACACAGAGATACGCACGCACATTGGGGAGAACGCTTGTCTTTTTTCATCAGATATCGTTGCGTGGTTCATTGTAAAATTCAGTTGGCATGCACACATACGTGATCCATCACCTCGGTAAAATCAGTTGACTTAACTTGCGCGTTTTTTAGTCCGGTTCACGTAAGCAGTAGTGGAACTGTGCTGGTCTCATAGTTTGAACTCCATTTGAACAGTGCCAACGCAAACCTGAGCATGATTTGTTGTTCCCACGATTGTTCCAATCCGGAGGCAGAATGCCGCGCAAAATAGCATTACTTTAGGTAGACCACAGATCAAATAAAGAATAGCATTATCCCTTTCACAGAGATTTGTTTTCAATCTAAAGGTGTTCAATCCCAGCTCAAGCGTATCAAGGGCTACTTCGATCGGTGCCGTGAAAATTCGCATTCAAAGGATCACTCTCAACTCCTAAGAAAATTCCCTTGAGGATGTTTCACGAGGTGAAACTCCTTCCTAGCCAATGCCGGTTTACAAAATCAACAGGACGCCAGAATTTTAGTCCCCAGAAACGAATATGAATAATTTTGTCTACAGTCAATTTTATCCGGCCCGTGACCCGGTTAAATGTGTTAACTCAAGTTGGATAACGTACTGGCACATCTTTGCATGTGACAGTTTTGTCATGATCCGCTATGTATGTCACATGACTGCTGCGGCCACGCACTACGTATTTTAAAAACAACACTCCATAAAGTGCGCAGTCAGATCCTGAACACTGCCACAATATAATAGCTGTTTATCCAGAAATCCTAATAGTAAACTGATGCAAATCAGTTCTCGTAGTTCAAGTGGATAAGCTTCATTTGCATCGCTGTACCGGGTTGGTCGATTTGCTTGCCAACCTAATTCCCATCCAGTTTGCTATCGGTGCTCGTAGTATGGTCATGCTCTGTTTCTGTTCGTTCATTTCGGTACATCCTTCTTTGATGATTCGGTCCATTATCTCCTTCTTTATCCCCTTCTTCGTTTCACTAACTCGGAGTAAGTTTTGTCCTTAAAGCTTCACGATACGGCCTCTCGTTTGTCGCGTCATCTGGTTCTTAAGTCGCATCGACATAGCACATGAGGCATCACGTGCACCTGTGATTCAGGAACTGTATGCAACATAGGAATGGTTTTTACCGTAATCGGACAACGGGCCATAACGGTTAAATATCAGTTCATCAGCTCAGTTCGAACAACCATTAACCATGCACTTTTGTGAAGTACAGCACTCTTTTATAGGTCACAAAATCACAGAATGCAAGGAAACAGAAAAAAGGTAGATCATGTCTGTATTTGTGTACGTGTGTATGGAT